GCAGGACCAGGTCTGGGGGGTCTGGGGGAGGGGACTGAGCTGGGTCCAAGACAATCCAGAAATCCCGGGAGAAGGAGCCAGTGGGGTTCGGGAAGCTGGGGGGTGGAAGGTGGGCTGAGGGGGTGGGTATGCACCAAAGGAGGGAGTAAGACAGGGGTCTGAAGGACAGCCCCCTGCCGGAGCCCAAAAGCGGGGGGACTGAACTGGGGGGCTTGGCTGAGAGATTCTGAGGAATCCAGCTCATGAGCCAGGACCCGGGGGGCCAAGAGCCTGAAGAGATGGGCCTCCACATGGGGCCAGGCCTGACGGGGGCAGAACAGGGCGTGGACAAACAGCACCCGGGAGCCCAGGGGCCGTGCAGGGTGCGGCGGCTCAGCCTGGCGGAGGCCAAGCAAGGAGTCCCACCCCCACATCAAGTAGGTCAAAGGTGGGAGCTCCTGGCGCCCGGCCTGACCCAGTGTCCTGGGAGGGGCTGGGGCAGCGCGACTCCGGCCCAGCTAGCAATCCGTGAAAGAGGGGACCCAAGGATCCAAGAGCAGGGAGCTTGGCCCGAGGGTGGGAGATTCTGGGTCCTGGGATATGCAAGCCTTGTCAGGGACGGAGGCCAGCGGGCTGTGGGCGCCAGCCCGGTGGGTTCCTGGGGCACTGGGAGGAGAGCGGGGGGCCTAGCGGGGGTCCAGGCAATCAGGCTCTCACTTGCCTGGGGCCTGGGTAACAACCTGGCGGCCCAAGTGAGACCTGTGGGCTGGACTCCTGCTGGACAAGGGGAAGTGGCAGGTGCTGGGACCTCAGGGAGCAAAGACCGGGTAAGGGAAGGGAGCAGCCCGAGAGGCCCGGGGGAGAGGGGAGCCGAGAGTAGGGAGGTCAGGAAGGGGAGGCCGGACCCAGGGGGAAGACCAGACCCAGGAAGGAGGCTGGAGACCCAGGAGGGGAACCGGGATGAAGGCCAGGACTGGGGAGGCCGGGGCCGGGGGGAGGCCAGGAGGGAGGAGGCCGGGCCGGGGGGG